AAAAAAATCCTTTGTTGTGTAATGTGTTTAAAAAAATGTGTTTAAAGGGGGGTATTACCGTATTTATTCATATATAATACGCTCTCGAGTATAATACGATAATTTTTGAGCTTACAAAGCATAAAATTCTAATTATCAATAAACTACTATCCCCCCACTTTATGGATGACTTTTAGGGTTAAATTTCTAGTATTATACATGAATAAATACAGTATTTTCCAGGCATGTACTTCAATTTTGTACTACAGTCAAGTAACTGACCCCTTCAGTTGTTAAGAAAATGCTGTATGTACCTAAAATACAGTAAAACCTGAACGCCTTGAAATTGGCCTCTGTCTCTTCAAGAACCTCCTACCGTTTCCGACACTCCCTCTTCAGAACATCGTCACAACAATGCCTCGGGGGAGGGATGCTCTGTGGGGCGGGAGCTCAAGTGCAGACTGAGCTCCAGGGAGGAGCTTTGTTCAAATAGGCGGTGCTTTGTACAAACAAGCGTTTACTGCAGGAGATTCAAGGATTTCTCAGCTTTGCATGAATGAGTCAAAGCAAAGCTCTGGTTATGTTTTTCATGAAGGTATGACATTAGAACATGACATAAAGCTCAAAAAAGTAGATGTTGCGTAAAACACAAAAAAACTGAAACCAGACTCATTTTATGCTCCATTTTAAACAGAAAGGTGTAAAACCAAAATTCAAGATTGACACATTGTAACTTCTTTAAATTCAATTTTCCTTTCTTCTAAGTGAAACAGTAATGCGATCATATTCTTCAGGAACAGTGACATGGTACAGTTTGTCATGAGGCTTTCTGCAGCAAAGTGATTATGCCAACGATAATATCTCTGCTGCTAACAAATTATTTATGAAAATAAATGCTTTATCTCAAGAGAGTGTCAAAGAGTGGATGTAGATTGTGGTTCAGTTGTCCTCCTGAGAGTGATGTAACTCCGCAGTGCCGTGCTGCTGCCATTCTTGTTGACCTCAGTTCAGTCGTCACTTTGATCAGAATCAACCTGCAACACACCAAAGGCTGAAACTCTCTGAGCTTTTTATTGTGTTTTCCAAAATCGCAACAGTTCTCAGACTTTGTGAAATAGGGTTTGAACTTTGCGGTAAGAATTGTGAAGTCGTGTGCTTTGTTTTATTTTTGGGTGAATGTTTTTGTGGTTAAAAAAAGTATTGCTCAGGCTGATGTTATTATTGATGTTAATTTTGTAAATGGATCACAAATATGAAAACTGAATTTACAAACTGCAACTGCGAAAGAAGAAGGTAAAACTTCATTTTAAAGGTTGAATTTAGTAGTAACAAAATGAAATACTTTTAAAGTACATAATTTAGTAATAATAGCTTAAGTCTTTTTTAACTGAGCTGTATAATTGTTATGTTTGTTGTGGTTTGACATATATTAGAATACAAAAGAATATTTTGGTGGCCCTAATTTGGCAATACTTAGTTCAGTTCTTGGTTTACAAATACTTTTACCTTCTTCAAACAAAAGCTTACTTAGCATCGTCCAGTGTAGGTTAGATGGTGACTACAAACACACACAAAAAAAAAAAAAAAAAAGAAAAGAAAAAATGCAAAATTGAACATCCATCCATCCATCCATCCATCCATCCATTTTCTGTACACGCTTATTCCTTTCAGGGTTGCATGGGTCACTGGTGCCCATATCCAGCAGTCACAGTGCGAGGGGCGGGGTACACCCTGGACAGGTCACAAGTCCATCACAGGGAAAATTGAAAAATTGAACATATTATGTTAAATTTAAACTGTGACATCAGCTTCCTTTAATGCAGACATTTTAGTCCTTAAAGGGGGTATTTTGTACTTTCCAGGTACATAATTTAATTGTATACCACAATCAAGTAACTGTTACTTTCAGTTGTTGTGAAAATACTGTATATCAAAACTAAATTTGACTGTGCATCTAATCACCTTGAAATTAACTTCTGTCTTAAAAACCACCTACCATTTCAGACGCTCCCTCGTCTTCACAAAAAAATGCTTCGGGGGAGGGGTGCTCTGTGGGCTGGGACCTCGGCTGCAGACTGAGCTCCAGGGAGGAGCTTTGTTCAAATAGGCGGTGCTTTGTACCAGCAAACATTTAGGCAGCTCCGCATGGCTACCACAGGAGATTCAAGGATTTCTCAACATGCATGAATGAGTCAAAGCAACAACCTGGGTATGCTTTTGATGATGGAATAACATTAGAACATGATATGAAGCTAAAAAAAAATGTTGACTTTGCCTAACACCCCCAATTTACCATAATTTTTTTTATTTGTTTTTTTATTTACTGTTATTTTACCAGGCAAATCCCATTGAGATCTCAGATCTCTTTTTCAAGGGCGGCCTGGGCCTGAAGGCAACCTATTGTACATGTTTTTGTGTTGTGGGGGAAACCGGAGTACCCGGAGAAAACCCACGCAAGCACGAGGAGAACATGCAAACTCCGCACAGAAAGACCCCAGGTCCGAACCGGGGATCGAACCCAGGACCTTCTTGCTGTGAGGCGTCGGTGCTAACCACTGAGCCGTCGTGCCGCCATAATATTTGTATCAGTGCTTTAGGCAAAATTTCTTAACTTTTGTCTATTTTGTATCATGATTTTTTTCCTTATTTAGCTGAATCAAGCAAATCCCAGACTTTCAGACTCGGAAGGCAGTGATTTTGTCTCTGCTAATCGTCAGGGTAATTTGACCTAATAAGACTTCTATTCAACCCTCTCAACTGTGTTGTGTCAGTAATAATTGTCTAATGTCTCTACCTTATGCTGTTGCTGTGGAAACTGATGAACACTTGACAGCTGTAGGATGGGTTGCCATGACAACACAGACACCCTTGTGTGAGGGGAGAGGGTTAGGGCTTTTTATTTTATTTTCCCTAAGCTATAGTTTAAGTAGTGCAAGACATGCTGGCATCGGCCTGGTATTATGGGAGCAGAGATATGAAACAATCCTGACTTCAGGGACTGAACTCGTCTTCACAGATATGTGACATCAGGTCTTGAGGCAGTTCATTTGGTTTTGTCAGTCTGCTCGTCTCCTGGCTGTCTTGCCCCTTGGTGGCCTGCCATTTTCTACAGGACCAAACACTGCAATTATAATTGACTGTTTATCCAGGTCACTAATTTCTCTGAAACTAATTTCTAAGATTATTTTTACTTTGTCGTCTAATCAAATCGATACGTAATTCACCGGGAGCTGTTTTTGTTTTGAACATTATCTGGCCTTTAGTTTGGCACCTATTAGACTGTCTGCCTCCTGCCAGTGCTCAGGGGTCGGATTTATAAAAGTGGCGTACGCACAAAAGGAGCCCAGAAACTTGCGTACGCCACTTTTCATGCCAAGGTTGTGATTTATAAAACCCAAACTTGACGTGAAAATGTGCGGTGCCTCACGCCAGCTCTGACCCATGTGTACGCTCATTTTAGAGACGAGAAACTGCGACACAGATGGTGAAGTGAGGAATTAGAGCCACACTGTGTAATGATCACTGTCAGATATTTAATTTACCTTCAGAATCAGAGTTTGATTTTTATTCAGCTTTATCATCAGCTTTCTTAACAGTATTATTTATGCTTCTGCTGCTGAGCCATAAGGACCTTTGAAAAAAAAAACTTAAATCTTAAATAAAAGTTTACGCATCCATTCATCTGCTTCCTCCTCAGAAGACCCTGACCCACAGACCCCTCCCCGACAAGAGACATTTCAACAGCATGACAGAAAAAGTCACGCTTCAGTTTGGATATTATGAAAAGTTCACTTTTTAAAGTCCGTATTTGTCATGCACGCGCGGGGGGGCAGATAACAGAGCAGAGAGGGGGAGGACGGGGCAGAAGAGCGGTGAACTTAACTTTATCTGATTTATTTTATTTATTGTTTTTATCGTCCTCGGAGAGAAAATTAATTTGAAGCTGTTTTTGAAAAAAAATCATTAGATTACTCTAAATGTCTGTTAACCTGCAAAATGAGGGGAAAAGCTGTGTCAATTACAGACATTCTGTTCACGTGAGCAGCTTTCAGCACCTGTTGTCCTCCAGACGCACGACGTAGCGTGTGTCTGAACCGGCCAATCACTTGTTTTGACGTTGATCAGCTGACTGATTTAAATACATTCATGAGGTACTTTGCATTGACTGTTTATGGTTGAGTGTGGGCGTGTAGAGGGTAGAACCTGAGGCGGGACCTTGTGCACAAATTATGAGGCACAGCTGTGATCTATAAAGGGAAAATGCGGTGAAACGTGTGTACGCACGGTTTTATAAATCTGAAATTTTTTTGGCGTACGCCATTTTCGTCTTTTGGCCGTACGTTCATTTTTAGTGTGGTTTCCACACACTCTTTAAAAATCTGACCCCTTAACTGTGTAAATATGCATATATTTTTACCATGAGTTTATCTCTATCCATATATGGTGAATTTTTTTATTTGAATTTTGTATTTCCTATTTGAAACCCAGACTGCTGTTTTTTTTCTGTCTACCTCTATACCAGTAGAGATTAATGCTATGTAAGATGTGTTTAGATGCTGAGTATTATACAGTATCTGGTAGTCAGATGTTATGTTATGTGATCCTTATCCTTGAACATGGTGTAACAATTCTCCAACTGATAGACTGCAGAATAGGGTTGGGCAATATTGGGAAAAAAATAATCATGATTAATTATAGTATTTAGCCGATAAAGATTAATTTGACGATTATCCCCTGG